AATCAACAGGGCACATGATCAGTCGCCCAAAAGAAAGCAAGCACCATGGGGTTGAAACTGAAATGGTTAAACCAAACGCCTACGTTTCAAATTCACCATTCTAATTCCACCGGGATTCTTGCTTATTCTACTAGAAGTCTAGAAACAAACGAGACAACACATCACAAAAATTATATTGCTAACTGATATTGCAATCTGCAAGCTAACTAAAAGCACATCGAAATTAAAAACTGAGATTATTAACAAATACCAGACATAAAATACAATTGAAAATGACAACATAGCTACCAAAAACTAAAACTAACTGATATTACAAAACTGCAAGCTAATTGAAAGCACATTGAAATTACAAACCGAAAATACTAACAAATACAAAAAAGAAAATAAAACTGAAATACTACGTGGAATTGCAATTTCTGAGCTGAAGTTACTAACTGCAATTGCAAACTGAAATTGAAAACTAAAAGTCTACCTACAATTAGAATCTAAAATAAAAAAATGAAATTACTGCAATTGCTAACTGAAATTGAAAACTGAAAGTAGCACTACCTGAAATTAGAAACTAAAAATACAAAATGAAATTACTAACTGCAAGTGCTAACTGAAATTGATAACTGTAGTTACAATACAAAACACCAAGCAGCTGCAAAGAAGCTAGGAGAACATGGCAAGCCGCTACTCAAACCCGAAAAAAACAAAGCTAAGCTATGCAGTGCCAAAAATGTTGCTTATGCTGCCTAATAGTGGCCTAGCTGAGATTGCAGTTGCTATGACCTGCAGATAAGAACTGGAGGAACCAATCAATAGAGAAAGCAGGGATCCGAGAAAGCACAATAAGCTGCATTTTCTTAGGCAATGCTGTAGTGCAAAGGCAATTTAAGTCTCATTTGCTAGGCAACAATGTCTTCATATATAGGCAATTTATGTATTCTGAAAAGGCAGAAAGCGGCATTAACACTGCTGCACCATAAAACAATGGAAAGGCAGAAATATGCTTGATATATAGGTAAGTTGCAGAATTCAAATGTATCAGTAGAGAGGTTTTTACACTAGTAAAATAACAATAAGATGTTCTAATGCTCATCTCCCATGTTGAACTCCATCCATAAAAAGCCTAACCCCCCGTTTGGATGTAGATATTGGGCCTCTGGATTTAGAATTGGCATTGTGAAGTTGCCAATTCCACTGTTTGGATGGTTAAGAATTCAGAGTTGGAATTCGAACCCAATACCAATCGGTTTTGGCTATACCTGCCCTTTCTAATCTCCAAAATCGAGCCCCAAGGCTTCGTATTGTCTGGCATTCGTCCCCCGCCCCGACCCCGACGCAGAGGTAGGACGCGCAGGCCGCCCTCGACCCCGACGCGGAGGCCGCACTGACCCGACGTGAAGGCCGCCCTCAACCCCGGCGCGGAGGGCCCCAACTTGACGAGAGGCCCGGACTTACAGGTGACCTCTTCTCTTCTTCCCCGACACCTCTTCTTATCCATTGTCGGCGGCCCCCTTCTTCTCCATGGCCGGTGGCCCCCTTCTTCTCCATGGCCAGCGAGCTCCTCTTCCTCTTCTCCATGCCTGGCGACCTCCTCTTGCTCTTCTCCATGGCCGGCGGCGCGAGATCTGCTTCGTCTTCCCCATGGACGCCGGCGTGAGCTCCTCTTCCTCTTCCCCATGCCCGGCGACCTCCTCTTCCTCTTCTTCATGGCCGGCGGTGCGAGATCTGCTACCTCTTCCCCATGGACGGCGGCGTGACCTCTCTTCCTCTCCCCCATGTATATGGCACATGATCCACCATGTTGCCGGGGTCGAGGTGCCCACGTTGTTGTTGCCGGGTCGTGCTCCCCCCCATGGCATGAGCTTGAACTCCCCTGCCGTGGCCCAACATTTCAATTCCATTCTTTTGCATCCAAAGCAGAAAATGGTATTGAGCTACTTGCTAGGATTCCAAAAGCCAATTCAATGATCATCCAAACAATAGTATTCGAATTGTGACCATTTCAATACCATGGCTGCTTTGGTATTGAACCCAATTCAATTCCAGCTCTCCCAATATCTACATCCAAACGGACCCTAAAGGTAATTATGCTGCAACTGCATCCAACAATTTACACTCACTACAGACAACAATTTGATACTGAAATGCTTCTATTGCCCCTGACATTTCTTTACTAATCAACATTGGTGATAAAAATGACATCATGACTAGAACCCTCCCAAAATACCACAAATAGTAGTAGTCAATGGCTACCACCGCAGCAATCAAATAAAAAAAAACAAAACATGAAGCTATCACCTGACAAGAGGAAATACCATCCAAACCAAGGAGATATGCATCACCATCACATTACAAGGACAAACATTCCTCACCCACGCACTCTAGAACTTCTATGTTCTGCTAGTAACACAGAACATGAAAACACAGCTCAATGAGCTGACCAACCGTGTCAACACCACAACAATCCAATCTCCATTAAAACACACACCAGCATCAATTGTGCCACCCCCGAAAATCACACCAACTAGAGAATGAACAAAAGAGCCAAAAGTCACCTTGAGCGTGAGGATGACGACGAGGAACACGTGGGCCGCCAGATTCTCTAGGAGCGTGACGATGACCCTTGAGCGCAGCACGGCTCCAAGCCAGTCTCCATCCCCGTCCGCCCCAACGTCTCCATCGAGGAGCGAGGACGCCCACCACTGCAGCGGCGGCCGCGACGCAGAGGCAGTTCACCGCCGCCATGGGGCCGAGCATCGGTCGACGCTCGGAACGAGGCGAAACCGAGCCCTAACCCTAGGGGTGGTGGCTCCTGATCCCGAGCACAGGGGGCTTTGCTTGGCGTGCGCGCTTCCGATTCCGGTGCTTTATTCGCGTGGGGAAGGGGAGGGGAGGGCAGGCGGGATGCCACGAGCGATGGCACCTCAGCGAGGAGGCCTACCCAGCGTGGATCCGCCGCCTCCGCCACCGGATCTGCCATGGCCGCCACGCCGGAACCCTAAGAAGCTTGCCGGAGAGAGGAAGGAGCCACATCGGGAGGAGGTGGCACGCGGGTGCGGGCGCGGGCACTGGCACGGGGGAGCGCGGTCGTCGCCGGGGAGGACCTTGCCGGGCGCTGGGGACGAGAGAGACGAAGCGACAGAGAGGGAGGTAGAAGATGAGTCGAGTGGAGACGAGCGTGTCGGCTGGAGCGTGCGTCGGGTGGGTGTGCTGGCTGGAGGGTGTGCGTGCGAATGGGAAATAAAACGGCCAGCCTGTATTAAGTCTTTACCTTCTTTTATTGAACATATATAAAAATGACCTAACAAACTCTGAACTAATGTTTTTCTTTTTTTTTTCTTTCTCAAACATGAAGGAGAGCTACATATATCATTATACTAAGAAAAAAAATAGGAGAACAAGAGCCGAAAGAAAGCCACACCAATACAACACCGCTAGGATCTAAAACAGAAAAGACACGTCTTTGATGTAGAAACAAACGATCCCTACTAGAAATCAGTCCATGTTCAAAACTAATGTTTTCCTGTACGTACAGTTAATGTTTTTCGGATAGCCTTGTATGGAGATAATTATAACATATGTGATAATGGGCTTGTTTGGGACAGCTTATACATAAGTTATTTATAGCCAAAATAAGTTGAGACCAAAATCCAAACGGTATGTTTTTTACAGCTTTTTTTCTAGCCACGTTTCTTTCAGGGCACCTATTTATACTAAAATGCTGAAAATGAGTCAGACCAGCTTATTTTGACCACTATTTTTGTTTTATTTTGAAAAACATTTTTTTGACTGTTCTAGCAAACATGGCAAAAAGTATTGTAAACACCGCGAAGGGATCGTTGCAACAAATAAAATATCTTTTGCATCGGTGCGTGGCAGTGGGAAAGCGGTTCCTTTCATGGCGTCTCTTTCCAGCAGAGCTCAATAGTCTCATAGCTGATCTGGGCTGACTCATTTTGTATACTAACAAATGTTGCATAGCTGTTCTAAAAAAAACAAATGTTACATAGCACAATATTCTCTTCTTGAATATTGGCATTTCATGTACGTGCTTCATTTTCTTTCACATTTGCAAACAATTATATAAACAACTAGCAAAGCGGTTTACTGCTTGCGTACAAACTTTGCTATTCTATTTCTCTGTTTTCCTGTTCACTATTACTTTACGTTTTCCTGTGGAAGCTCATTTAAATATGTTTTGCATCAAACGACTATATCTTCTTGCTTTGTGTTGCTTTGTCATTTTCACAAGGTAAAAGAAATAGGGCTTGTTACTTTGATCTTTCCAAAACATCATTTTTGATGTGTCCTGTGTACGTATACCTAAGCTAGCTTTTGCTACCATTATCCAAGCAGCATTGGAAATATCGCTAGCCCTCGTCTCCATCGTCCAAGCAGCATTGTAAACACCACAAAGGGATCGTTGCAACAGATAAAATATCTTTTGCATCCGTGCATGGCACTAGGAAAGCGGTTCTTTTCGTGGCGTTTCTTTTCAGCAGAGCTCAATAGTCTTCATTTTCTGTCACATTTGCAAACAATTATATAAACACCTAGCAAAGCTGTTTACTGCTTGCGTACAAACTCTGCTCCTCTATTTCTCTGTTTTCCCGTTCACTATATATTACTTTACGTTAGCCTGTGGAAGTTTATTTAAATATGTTTTGCATCAAACGACTATTTCTTCTTGCTTTGTCATTTTGACAAGGTAAAAGAAATAGGGCTTGTTACTATGATCTTTCCAAAATATTGTTTTTGATGTGTCCTGTGTCCTGTGTCCTGTGTACGTATAGCTAGCTTAATTTTGCAACCATTATGCAAGCAGCATTGGAAATATCGCTAGCCATCGTCTCCATCGTCCAAGCAGCATTGGGGTTACAGCCAGCCATCGTCTTTTGCACTCCTGCCTGTAGGAATCATTAGCCAAAAGTCTATATATCTCAGTATGCTATATGTTAACCAAATGCTATATTGTGCCAACTGCCAAGCCCCACTACCATTTGATCACCATGGCCACCACACCGGAGGAATTCTTCGTCAAGGATCTCACGGAGCAGCCACCAGCATTCCCACCTGTCTTTCCTGACCTTCGCCAGAAGCCCAATGGCAGCAGCGAGGGCCAGCATCATGTTCCTAATGCCATGATGCTCCCTTACATCGCACGCATGCTCATGGAGGATGACGATGGCGATAATAACCTCACTGATCACCCTGCGCTACTCCAGGTGCAGCAGCCCTTTGTGCAAATCCTCCGCTCCCTTTCCTTCGACGCTAACACATACACCAACAACACGGAGGGGCCCAAAGATTTTTTGCATGAAGACCATGGTGGTGAAAGAGGGATTAGTTTGCCCTTATCCAACGGTACATATGTGGTGGGGGCATCGTCCTTGGAGTGCATGGAAGAAGCCAACATGTTCTTGCCCAAAGACAACAACTTGACAAAGGATGAGCAGGGGAATCAAATCAGGGAAAGCAACGTTATTGGTAGTAGGATCAAGAAAAGGTATAACAGGGATCACCTTCTAGAGGAGGAGGTAAGAAGTACCAGCAAAGCTATGATGATGATCAAGGAGCCAGAGGAGAAATGTGGCAACGAGATGCTTGGCAAAATGATGTTGCATGCCTATGAGGCATGCATCACGCGTATGGAACGTGTCACCTTGGACAATAATGGCTCAGATAAAAGAAACAAGAAGAATTGGAGGATCAAATCGGCAAGGAACAATGTGGTCGACATAGGCACATTGTTGATGTCTTGTGCACAGGCGCTAGCAGAGGGCGATCACATGAGAGCACATGAGCTACTGATGCAAATCAAGCAACATGCTTCGGCAACAGGGGATGGCACCCAACGGCTAGCTCATTGTTTCACCAAGGGGCTAGAGGCACGCATAGGGGGCAAAGGGAGGAAGATTTGGCAGTTGCTTATGTTACAGCACCCCTCAGTGGTGGAGTTCCTCGAGGCCTTTAACCTTTACACTAAAGCTTGTTGCTTCCTCAATGTGACATTCATTTTTTCAACAATGACCATCATGCAGGCCATGGTGGGTAAGAGCAGGTTGCATATTGTGGATTATGGTATGCGTTACGGGTTCCAATGGGCAGGCTTGCTCCGCTTGCTAGCAAGTAAACAAGGCGGCCCGCCGGAGGTGAAGTTCACCGCCATAACCCGGCCCAAGCCTGCATACTACCCAAGTGACCAGATTGAGAAAATAGAGTGCCGGCTCATGAAATGTGCCCATGAGCTTGGCTTCCCTTCGTTCAAGTTCCACGCAATCATGAGAAACTGGGAGGATATTTCCATCATGGACTTGCACACAGACGTTGATGAGGTGCTTGTCGTGAGTGACCTCTTCAGTTTCAGCATATTGATGGAAGAGAGCATATTCTTCGATTCTCCAAGCCCTAGGGATACTGTTCTCAATAACATCAAGAAGATGAGGCCAGATGTATTCATCCAGAGCGTTGTGAATCGTTCGTATGGTTCCTGCTTCTTGTCACGGTTTCGGGAGATGCTCTTCTATTACATGGCAATATTTGAAATGTTGGACAGAACTATCCCAAGGGAGAGTAAATCTCGATCGGTGCTAGAGCAAGTCCTCCTTGGACATTATGTTTTTAATGACATTTCATGCGAAGGCATGGACCGAGTGGAACGCCCTGAGAAATATAGACAATGGAAGACAAGAAACCAACGGGCAGGCCTAAGGCAGCTGCCACTAAAATCATGCATTGTAAAGGCAGTGGAAGACGAGGTCACGAAGCATTACCACAAAGACTTTATGATTTGCCAGGATGGCCAATGGCTTCTGCAAGGATGGATGGGCCGTGTCCTCTTTGCCCACACGGCATGGGTAGCAGAAGATGCCTCTTCTTCATGAAGTTTTAGCTTTCCTTATGACGAATGATATAGCATGTGTTCAGTGGCACCCTATTTAGAACAAAGACCTTTTGGATCTTCTTTACTGAAAAAACAAGTACGTTTAATTTGCTGGGATACCAGCTTAACACAATATTAGTCTTAGAAGTTTACTGCCATCGAGCGGAGAAACATTCTCTATGGGATACCAGCTTAATACAATATTAAAAAAAATATTACTACTACTTTAGTACTACTGTGAAAATATTAAAAAATCAATATTCCAATCAAATACCTGGTCAAAATTTAAATGATTGAGCTCAAGTATATCATCATTAATATTTTTTTTTTTACATTCCTATAATTGTTTTTATTTATTATAATTATAATATTGCATAGAAAAATTACAGAGCAACAGATAAAGGAGGCTTGAAAGAGCTCTCATATAAATGTCAGGTGGCGAAGAGGACGTTCCTGCAAGCCGCACCGGTGTGCCTAGCAGCCATCATATTGGGATTGTGCGGCCGAGGGCTAAGGCCCATTAGCAAGAGCATCGTCTGATACTGATATGATACTTAAAACATTATAAAAAAACTTACACATTTCAATTGACCAAAAAGTAAAAAAAAATCCGTTTGAAAACTTGCATTACACAATTTTAGAAAAAAAATGAAAACCAAAATTTTCCATTTCAAAGTGCAAAACTATATTCTCATGACCAAATGACATAAGTATCAATTTTTGTCAAATGGTGGTATGAAAAGTATCTATTTTCATTTACTGAAAAAGAGAATGACGTAGTCCATCCACATATGATTTATCGTGAATAGTTTAAATCTCGTGCTTTGAAAGGAAAAAAAATTATATTTAGTACAACCATTTCGTAAAACTATTATTTTTGTGCCTATATAATAACACACTTTGAAATGCCAAATAGTTTTTAAAAATTTATTATTTGTACCTTTTGTTTTCTTGAAATAGAAAATAATGATTTTAATAAACTGAATTTCGACAAAGTTATACTTTCGTAATTTTGTAGTGTCATTCTCACAATTTCTTAATTACTGCATTGAACAGTATTAAAAAATCGAAAAAAGGCATGCTGAAGTTTTTTTTTTTTTGACAACAATAAAGCATGCGGATTGCGGAAGTTGGCTGTAGCCCCTGTAGCTAGCCAAAATCGGTTGTGGTAGTTGTGGACGGTGGTGGGCCCATTCCAATTTCCAGCCAATCATGCTTGCCGCTCGCTCGCCGGAGCTCCACCGGCCGCTGGCGCCGCTGATTCGCCGCCTACTTCGCCCCTCTCTCCAGAAATACTGGCCGCGCCACTGCAGCAAGGTCACGGCGCACGCGCGGTTATGTCTGCCTAGTCGCCGCCCGGAGCCGGGACGAAAAGGAGAAAGCGAACAAGGCACCGCCGCACCGCTGCTGCTTCCGGAAATGGCAGAGCGCGAGGTATGATCACGGAGACGCCATGAATCCTCAAACCTTGCTGAGGGAGAGGTGAGAATGCCTGGACTGGATTTCGGCGGGGTGCGCTCTTATGGTCTGAGGCCTGTGTGCTGTGCCGGCTGAAAGGCAGGCGCGTGGAAGGTGTTTGAGGAAATGCCGCTCCCAGCGTCAACCTCCTGGAAGGGCTGGGACGCAGGCGGCGCCCTCATCTCACCACTCCATCAGCACGGTGAGCCCCTTGTCTGGTTGTTTGGCATGCTGTGCAGTGCGCTGCGAAACCTGCAAGTGACCCCAAATTAGATTGGCAGTCAGCTGGTGTCACTGTGTCAATGTCGATGGAATGGCTCTGCAGCGCTGGTGCTTGTGTAAATTCCGCAAGAAGCAGTCAACTGTCCCCTGAGACGGTGCTGGGACATTGTAGTGAGACCCACGCGTTTGTGGAAATTCGACAACCTGCCAGAGTGCCAGATGTTCTGCCAATTTTGCTTTCCTCTGGTTCAGTCTCTGCTTTCAACAAAATTTGGTACCACTCGTGTAAGTCAACAGCTGGGATGTGGACATTCAAACCACACCAGTGGAGCTTCCAGTGCATGACGACTTGGTCACTAGAAGACAGTGAGGCTGTTTGGTTCCCAGCCAAACTTTGCCTCACCATGTATGCCCGTGCCACAAAAAAGTTGGCCGCTGTTTGGTTGATGTGTCAGTTGCGGTAGCCACACTTTTTCACAGTTCATTTTTGTGCTCATTTGCGCCACAGGTGTGGTGGCCATTTTCTCTGCCACAGCTCTTCGGTGGCACCACACGCTGGTTGGCTGGCATTGGTTGGGAACCAAACAGTTATCTTTTGAGAAAATTGGCTGGGCGCCACAGGTTTTCTGAACTTCTTGCTTTTAGTTACAGTCAAAGTCAGTAGCTTAACTTATCTTTTGAGAAAATTTAGCTCCCAGGTACTTTGGCTTCATTTCAAGCTTGACCTTCTTCTGGGATCTCTAAGGCAAATCTGCGAGGAAACCAATCCCAAAGAGCATGGCACTCTGGAGTGGTGTGGGTCAGGTGGCAAGCATGGCACAGCTTGCTGGGGTTGATGCCTATGGGCTCATCTCCATGATTGTGGAGGCTGCAAAGACGGTTAAGAGGAACCGGGAGACCTGCCAGCTGCTGGCACGCCGTGCAAGGATGATTGGGGACCTTCTGCAGCAGCTTGAAAGGACACAACTGATGCACCACATGGAGACGAGGAACCCAGTGGAGCAGCTGGAGGAGACGCTTGCATGCGTATGTTCTCATCACATCCTGTCGCGACAGTAGCTACCTACACAGCTTCTGTATGGGAGGGAACCAGGCTGATCGGCTTCGCGAGGTGCAGAATGAGATCACCTTCTACCTCCAACTTTTCCCCCTTGTCAGCTTTGTCGACAACACCCGTACATGGGAGCGGCTTCTGAGCAGAGCTTGTCCTTTGTGTACAACGGTATGTATTTCATCGTTTTGAAGTTTATCAGACTTTGTTGTGTTTCAGAAATGCTAGTTTTTGCCCTAAAGAAAAAGGACCAGTTTTTCTAGCGAATGGCATGCTCAAATCTGTTTCTAAATGCAAATTTCATCTTTTTTTTGGTTTCTTGCTGATTGTGTTAGTCACAGACTAGCCTACTGAAATTATGATCTTACACAACTCAAATCTCAAGATCATGCAACTGCTGGAGCCTATAAAAGTTATAATAAAAATATAATTCAAAGGAACTTATAGAAGCAGCATGTACAATAGCTACCTATTATGTCAAGGAAACATGTGAGTAAATCTTCATTTACCATGCTTCGCTTACCATGCTTCAGATACTAGAATTAGGATTTACAATGTCGATGGAAGTTTGTTGCTAGAATATTTGTTACTCCTCTATTCCAAATTATAAGGCGTTTTGGCTTTTCTAGATTCATAGCTTTTGCTATGCACTTAGATATAGTGTATGTCAAAATACATAGCAAAATCAATGTATCTAGAAAAGCCAAAACTTATAATTTGGAATGGAGGAGTAATTGCTTTGATAATAGTTTCTAAGATATAAGTGATGCAGTTAGGCACAAAGGATCTTATCTGTCATCTTTTCTTTTTACATCATAAGGGAAGCACAGATGAGTTACATGCAGCACACTATGTTGAAAATGGAGACAGGTATGGTATCCCTTTTCTCTTATCAAAGTCATGGACTGCCTTCACTTGTGCATTCAGACATTGCAAACATGATTCATTTTGCTGCCGTATATTTCGTGTGTAGGCTGGATAATGCACTAAACATTATCACTCCAACACCAGACCTGTCTTCATATTAGTTATAAAGCTATAATTAAGGAAAGGACTGTGACTCGATGTGAAAATTATGCAGTATCTTTGCAAAATATGGCCGAGTGTACAATTCTGGTGCTGATGCTTAAGCCATTCAAACTCTTCTAACAACAGAGTTACCATGTGTAATACTATCCTGATAAAGAAAATTGTGAACTCATCCACCGTACCTGCAAACACAAATGGAAATTGCTTTTTAACAGCCAAAATCTTGAGTTCCATTATTGATATAGCCCATAATGTTCAATATATGCGCTACCATGTCAGGCTCAGATCAGAGGCCCTCAAGGCAACTAAATTCGAAAATATAGGAAGTCATCCAACCCTAAAACCTGACGAAGAGAAAACGGAAGGTATGCTATGCACTTACTTGACAGTTATGCAATATTTTCTAGTTACTACCAAATTTGCAGTATTATGTTCATGCTGACACTCATTGGGAGTTACTAGGATAATTGTTTCTACTATTAAGTACATGTACATCTATGTAATTTAGGAATATAACTTGCGTTAATATATGAAAAATATGCATAACATAATTGATAGAGAGTTAAGCCAACAGGCTTTTGGATGATTAGTAGATAGATTGCAGAGTGTTTACATATATAGGGATTACAGGAGGGTGGCCCAAGGGGCCAGCCGAGTGTGAAGGGGCCTGTCCAGCCAAGCAGGCGGCACAGGAAGCTAGGGGATTACATAAAGGAGTAATTAATTCTAACATTTCTCCCGCAATCGGAACGTCGATGGAACGAACATTCAGATGGAGCGAAATTCTGTGAAGATGCAGAGGGGAGCCCCTTGGTGAAGACATCTGCGTCATCGCGACGCGTTGTAGGAGCGTGGAGGACGCGGACAGCTCAAGGGCGACCCGTTCACGAACAAAGTGAAGGTCGATTTCCACGTGCTTGGTGCGTTGATCTTTGAACGGGTTGGTGGAGAGGTAGACGGCACCGACATTGTCGCGATGAGACGAGGGAGGCGATCTTGGGGTGGTGCAGCCCGGAGAAGTTGTTGCGACCATGAGACTTGGCGACACCGTTATGGCAACAGCACGGTACTCTGCTTCGGCACTCGACCGAGAGACAGTGGGTTGCCTTTTGGACGACCAGGAGATGAGGCTGCCACTAAGGAAGACAGCGTAACCAGAGGTGGAGCGGCGAGTGTCCGGACAACCGCCGGATCGGCCAAGATCGGTGTAGTAGACACAAGTCGAGTTGGAGCAGCATCGGGGATGATCGAGCCATAGCCGATGGTGCCTCAAGGTAGCGGCGATCCGCTTGGCGGCGATAGCCGTGTGAGTCTCACGAGGATCATGCATCCGATTTGCTGGACGGCATATGCAATGTCGAGGCGATTGAACGCTGGCAATCGGAGGGCACACCGTAAGAGGCTGCGGTAGGCGGTGGGATCATCCATGGGAGGGCCGGCATCTGCGGATACCTTGGCACAAGTGTCAACGGGGTAGAGCAGGATTGCGACCACTCATACCATGGCGTTCAGAATGTCCAGGGTGTATTGCCGCTGTGAGAGGATGAGAGTGTCCCTGTGTCGCTGAACTGCCACGCCGAGATAGTGATGCAAGGGACCAAGGTCTTTCATGGCAAACGCCTTCTTCAGGGCAGCAATCACACGGAGGAGGAGATGCTGAGAGGAGGCAGTGAGGACGATGTCATCCACATACTGAGAGCAGTATATCTGTCTCGGTGCAGCGTCGGTGTATGAATAGGGAGGTGTCGACTTTGCTTGAGTGAAACCCAAACTGAGCAGATAAGTAGCAAATCTGTTGTACCACGCACGGGGCGCCTGCTTCAGCCCGTAGAGGGACTTGTTGAGCTTACAGACATGTTCTGGGAAAGCAGGGTTAGCGAACCCGGTGGGCTGAGAGCAGTAGACGGTTTCTGACAAAGTCCCATGGAGGAAAGCATTCTTCACGTCGAGTTGATGAATGGGCCAATCCCGAGAGTGTGCCAAGGTGAGAACGGTACGAACTATGGCTGGTTTGACGACAGGGCTGAAAGTCTCGTCGTAATCAACACCGGTATTTGTGTAAATCCGCTGAAGGACCCAACGAGCCTTGTATCTCATCCAAGGAGCCATCAAGATGAAACTTGTGTTTGAAAATCCATTTTTTCGGTGACCACATTTGCCTTGGGCGGACGAGGAACAAGGTCCCACGTGTGGTTGTCCAGGAGAGCAGCATGTTCTTCTTCCATGGCACGACGCCAGTGCGGATTGGCAAGAGCGTCGCGACAGGACCGCGGTACTGGTGACAGGGCCTCAGTATGTAAGGCGAGACGAGGCTGCCGATACCCGGACTTCCCGCGGGTCGCCATGCCATGAGAGTTGGCGACCGGAGGGATGGGGACAGCCGTTGTCGGAACCGGAGGGCCGTGCTTGACATAGCGCGGCGGGGAGGGAACAATGCTGGAGCGTCGAGGAGGGGCCTCGCGGCGGATGAGCGAAGCGGGAGGCGCTGGAGTACATGTGAGTGACGGAGGCTTGCTGAAGTAGGGAGCCGAGGCGCCAAAAAAGATGGGTTCGGGCACAGACATGGTGCTGGCGCAGCAGCACCGGGGCGCTGGATAGGAGGAGCCGGGGCACACAGGTTGCCGTGGGCGCTTTGGGTATCAAGGCGCCCGGGGCTGGCGTGTGCGATCCGTGCACCGGGAGCAGCGGCGGCGAGAGGACGGGGAAAACTGGTGGAGGCGATCCGACGCCGGGCGTGATCCGGCCAATGAGGTGGCGATGGCGATGTCTCGGAGCAGAGCACGTGAAGTGGATCTTGCACAAAGTGCAAGAAGACCAGAGGTACAGAGGTAAAGGAAAAAGCGGTAGGGGTCATCGTTAGTTAGAAAATCAAGCTCCTGTGGAGGAGGGAGGATCGGCGAAGGGAGAACGGAAAAGTTGTTTCATCGAAAACAACATGCCGAGAAACGATGACTCGGTTGGTGGCGAGATCGAGGCACCTGTAGCCCTTGTGATCAGGCGAGTAGCCGATGAACACACATAGAGCGGAGCGTGGAGCAAGTTGTGGGTCTTTGTGGCGGTGAGATTGGGATAACAGTGCACCCAAAGCTCAGAGGTTATGGTACGAGGGTGGGTGCCATAGAACGCAAAGAAGGGAGTGCTCATGTGCGGCGTCTTGGTAGGGAGTCGATTCGGGAGGAGAGTAGCGATGGCAAGGGCATCAGCCCGAGAGGAAGGTGGCATGGAAGCTCGAAAGAGGAGGGTTCGGGTGACATTGTTAGTGGTGCGAATCATGCGCTCGGCTTTCCCATTTTGTTGAGATGTATAGGGACGGGACATACGAAGAGAAACGCCGTTGGAAAGAAAGAATGCACGGAGGCGGAGTTGTCAAACTCACGGCCGTTGTCACATCTGTATCTTGTTTTGATGGTGCAAATTGAACCGAGTTCTTACATGAGCAAAAAAGTTGGAAATAGTAGGAAAAGTGTCGACTTGAACCGAAGTGGAAAGGTCTAAAGGAAATGAGAGCGATCATCGAGGATAACAAGGTAATATTTGAAACCGGATACTTTGGTAATAGGTGATGTCCACAAATCACAATGCACCAAATCAAAATTCGAGTTGCTCTAGAAGAGGAACTAGTAAAGGCAAACGAGCATGGCGTCCAAGTTGACACGCATGGCAGAGGGAGTCATCGTCAGGCTTGCTGTAGATGATGGAAGAGGACTGAGCAAGACTCTGAAGAGCAGCCTTGCTGTGGTGACCGAGAGACAATGATGCTGTGTAGTCTGGGAGGGAGTAGTCACCAGTCTTGAGGGACCGGAGGAGGACTTGAGCGGTACATTGCAAGGTGTAGAGAGGTCCCCGATCGTTACATCGAAGGAGGGTGTTCTTGGAATGCGAGATCATTCACAGTAAACACCAAGAGGGTCAAATTCAATCAAAATGTAATTGTCATCGTGAACTTGCGAACGGAAAGCAGATTTTTAATAATATCAGGAGCTATAAGGACATTATTGAGGCGAAACGGGCTAGGAAGGATGGAGAAACCAGTGCCAACGACTGGGAGAGTGGCGCCGTTGCCAACAACAATGGAGGATGGAAAGAAAGAAGATGGCGAAGCTGTGACCATACCGAGTTGGAGGCAATGTGAGAGGAAGCACCGAGTCAATAACCCATCGAGGAGCCCGATGGCGGAGTCAGGAGACGCAGTCTTGAAAGGCGTTGGCGAGGGACTCGATGAGTCCATGGCAACCAAGTAGGAGAGGGCGCCTGCTGGGGTGCCTGGTAGTATGCCCCGGGGTTTGGCGGTGGAGTGAAGTAACCCGGGGGCACACCAGCCACTAGGGCTTGCTGCGGTGATGGAGGCGGGACGGTGCGAGGCGGTGGACCGCGAGGATCGCTGGAGAGTGGACCTGAGCCACATATGGATGGACCCGGTCCATGGGTTGAACATGGAAGGCCACTGCTGACCGCCTGGGTGCTGCTGCTGGCCGCCTAGGTGTTGCTGGCTGCTTGGTGAGCCGCCCTGTGCACCGCCTTGGCCGCGTCCGTCGCGGCGACGTCGACCGCGACCGTTCCCGTGGCCAGACAGCTGCCCCCGGTAGTCTGATGAGGACGCGGAGGAGCAGAGGGCGGGGGAGGAGCGGGCTGCTTGCCGGACGATGAGGCGACGAGGGCTGATGGCGGTGCTGAAGGTGGCGCCATGTTGAGTTCAGCAAGGCGGAGATCAGCACGGACGTCAGTGAAGGAGGGGAATGGCCTCTGTCGAGTGATGAGCTGCGACATGAACTGGAATCGTTCATTGAGTCCGCGCAGGACGTTCAGCACCAGCGTGCGGTCGAGAACGGGCTCGCCAAGGTCGGCAAGCGCATCTGCCATACTCTTCATCTTGCGGCAGTATTCGTCGATGGAGAGGGCGCCCTGGCAGAGGGTGCGGAACTCGGCATCGAGGAGCATGGCGCGTGATTCGCGGTTGTTGAAGAACTGCTGTTCGAGGCCGAGCCATGCTGCCCGAGCAGTGAGGCCGTCGCGCTCGTGAACGACGTCGAGGAGGTCGGGGGAGATGGTGTTGAAGATCCATGAGACGACGACGCAGTCCATGCGAGACCACGCCGCATCACAGGGGCGAGGAACGTCGCTGAGGACATGGTCCTTCAGGGCGTAGCGGCCGAGGACGAGAAGAACGTAGCCACGCCATTTGGAGTAGTTGGAGGACTGCAGATCAAGGACGATGGGGATCAAATTCTTGATGTTCTGCACGGCGGCGGCCTGGCTATGAAGGTGAGCGATGGCCGCGGCCTCAGAGGTGACGGAGCGCGTGTCGTCATCTTCGAAGGTGTCGTCGCGGAGGGACTCAGCGCGAAGCCGGTCGCGGAGGGCAGAGGCCTGTCGCCCGAAGCGTCGCTGCCGCAAGGCCTTCCGTGTCGAGAGCAGCGGCGCGGACGCGTTCCTGGGCGGCGGCGGCAGACTTGAGAAGGTCCGCCTCCTCTTGAAGGAGCTGACTGCGCTCGGTGTTGGAGGACTGCAGAGCAGCGGCCTCGTCTTCCAGTTTCTTGGCGGCGGCGATGGCTTCATCGCGAAGTTTGGCCGCTGCGGCGGCGGCCGAGGCGCCAGAGTTGGAGGAATCGCCGGCAGCAGACGGGGCGCGCGTGGTGGCCGACGAAGGGGCGCGCGCGGTGGCCGTCAAGGGTGTGCGGGGGTCGTCGAGAGGCGACGCGGGCGCGGCGGTTGAAGCGCCGAGCGCGGGTGCCAGGAAAAAGAAGCGGAAGCAGGGGAACGGGCACAGGATCAGATTAGTCGTCTGATACCATGATAGAGAGTTAAGCCAACAGGCTTTTGGATGATTAGTAGATAGATTGCAGAGTGTTTACATATATAGGGATTACAGGAGGGTGGCCCAAGGGGCCAGCCGAGTGTGAAGGGGCCTGTCCAGCCAAGCAGGCGGCACAGGAAGCTAGGGGATTACATAAAGGAGTAATTAATTCTAACAATAATATTTGTTATGTATTTATGCCTTGCCTTTCAATAGAAACGATATCATATAGCATAATTTTCGAGAGATAATTCAAGTAATGATTATCATTGACAAAGTTGGTTTTCTTTGAATTAGGCCAAGTCCTGAACATTGGAGGATTAGTAAATCTCGTTGGTGGAGCAAAAGGAGCAGAGTTATCATATTTTAGTTTCTCACAGATTTTGGCTGCTACTGAAAACTTTTCAGAGAGAAATTTGGTTGGACATGGTGGATTTGGTTATGTTTACAAGGTAATTTTTCCTCAAGACTCCTTTAGTATGGGCTTAAGTAGAGCACCTTTATCAGAAAACATCTCAAAATGCACTCTCAACATGGGGTGGGCTACTCAAGCATAGCACCTTGCTTGGCGTTCAAGGGTTAAACCAAATAATTTGCTCCATTGGGCTAACAGTCACTTTAACCAGCAATTTGTATTATCTGACACCTGGAAATTTCTTTAAGCTCCCTCGTACATCTTTGGATATCTTCTTTAACACTGACGCTTAATCTTGTTAGGGCAATCTCCTTAATGGTCTTAATGTTGCCATTAAAAGATTTGATACATCTTCATTTCAAGGTCCACATGAATTCAGAACTGAGATTGATGCCATTCTAAATCTTCGACACAAGAACATAATTGATCTGCTTGGGTATTGTGTTCAAGGAGAAGAAAAAATACTTGTTTATGAATATATGCCAAATAAATGCTTGGCACTATCATTGCTGGCAAGTTTTTGTTAACTTAATGCCTCTTTCATCTTTTCTGTTCATTGTTCGGCAAGTACTATTCCTGATAGAAATGTATTGATGTTTTTTGTAGATGAAACAAAAAGGGAGTTGCTAAATTGGTCCTTGCGTCTTCAAATAATCAAAGCGATAGCAGATGGTCTTGATTTTCTACATGGGCATTCTCATACGTGCATTGTCCATAGGGACATAAAAGCAAGCAACATCCTTGTGGATCATGAAATGAATGCTAAGATTAGCGATTTTGGTCTGGCATTAATGTTGGCTCCAAATACGACTGCAAATGTTGTTGTTCTGGGCACACAGTAAGAGCTCGTCCAATACACAAATCAAGATATAAAATCAATCTTGTTATTTTTTCATTTTAAGTGTTCAGCATGTGCATTGGTATGATAATCCTCTCCACCACCAGTGGCTATGCAGATCCTGAATATGTTGCTACTGGTAACATCTCGGAGAAGGCAGACGTATATGGCTTTGGTATAGTACTTATTGAGATAATAAGTGGAAGGCTGATCCGGTCTTATACTATGAAGGCAGATGGCACTCCAGAGCTACCACTTCATGATTATGTAAGTATTTGTTTTTAGTTAAAAAAGGCATGTCCACAACAATATCTTAATTTGCAGCACAGTACTAATAATAAATGGTGTCGCTTGTTTTGTGACAACAAATGTGCCAGCTCTTTTGTTTTTATCAGGAAAAATGTACATCTAGATGACTTCTTTTTCTGAGTCCCCTTTTCTAGACAACGAAATTTCTTGTGTATACTTGAACTATGATGGATCATGTCTGAGAAATTGTTTGTTTGTAGTATTGTTTGTCCTCAAAACTTGTGATACTAGTGGCAGTCCCTTGGCCCTCCCAGCTGCATAATCTCCTTTTTCCTATTCTTTAAAAAAACATGACTCTTTCAATATGTCATTGAGGAATGGTGTTTTTCAAAAGTCATCAATGCTAACAATTAGGGATTCCAGTATTTTTTCAGGCACACAAGCACGGAAGAAGCTGCACAGGTTTGTTGATCCATTGTTAGCGTGAACGGGCATGAATGGGCTCAGATTCTGGAATGTGTGAGGGTGGCACAATTATGTATTCACCATCTTGCCAAACATCGGCCTACCATGTCAGAAGTTGTCACCATGCTTGGCAGCATCAAGGTGGCGTAGAGGGCACACGGCAAATAATAGGCCATTGTATTGGGAATACTAAATCTGATTGTAGTTTCGAAAGAGCAACAAAGGAATAGTTGCAATGTTAAAAGTGTCAAGTAATTAGCTACTCCAACTAAGGTCTTGTTTGACTGCACTTGTATCCATTTCATTCCACGTGTTAGAGTGGAGATTATCAAGTTTTCACCCTAGTCCACTGCGACATATGTCGAATGGGGTGGATCTGAGTACTGCCAATCAAGACCTAATGTTTTTTTTCCGTGTAGGCTTTGAATGGAGATAATATATACGCTATCATGATCCTGTAAACATCATAGAGATATATGGGGCTGTTCAGTTCCTAGCCACAATTTAGCACAAGCAACCTTAGACAAGTGTGGCTAGAAAATTTGGAGCCACATATTGCCATTGTCTAAGAGAATCTTGTAACGCTTTTTTACTCTAAGCAATGTGGAGCCTAAAAGAATCTTGCCTATGTTTAGTTGTCAACCAAACAATTACCAACTTGGTTACACTTGCCTAAGGTGAAGTGTGGCAAAATGTAGCTAGCAACCAAACACCTCAATAGTTATTGTAAAATAGTTGGCAAGTTGGTCAGAGCACACACACAGTGGTGAGTTGAGTGACTGTTTCCAACTTAGAGTTACAGAGCTGGTGAGAGGTCCCTTTCATGGCTTCTGTTAGCAGTGAAGTATTAATGCTTAGGTGATCTGCACCTGGGAAATCTTGTTGAATAATTGAGCAGAGAGCGAGGACGAGGGACACTTCGCTGGAATGGTAATGGGTCCATGCTGCTGCTAATTTAGTTTACCTCAAGTTGGAATGACTGACTCCATAGGCATGTTGAAATTATCACAATGACCAGTCAGCAACCACACGTCCCTGCTGCTGGACAAATTAGACCGCCGAGGCAGGCTACCATTTTTTTTATATATATATATTTTTTGATAAAAGGCAGGCTACCATTGATGTATACTGTGCGGCAAAGACTGACGACCGATGAGGAAGCAGCCAAATGATGAGTCCAACTTGGCATCTTTCAAACCTTGACAGTTCAGTCTCCACCACGTTTAGCGCCATTTTTCTCCTGTTTGCTTGTCTTATGAGTCGTACTTTTTTCAAATGAACAAACAATGTTTTTTCTCTCACAACAAATCAGCGAACAGTACTTTCAGTCATGGTTTTTCAATGAAGCGAACAGGGCCTAGTGTATACAAGCGTGAAGCTTCCTGGAAACCAAATGTCTTGGGTTTTGTTCATACATGTCGGCATCACAGTTTCAAAAATAAATATTTTTAATGGCATGGGCACGGCGTTATCACTTTCACACTGGTCAGTCTTTCTGGCTACCAAATCTTGGCCTTTTTATGTTCTCACCCACTCAACACCACCCTCTTCCCTTCCATCTTCCTCAATCATCCAGTACTTCCCGGCTACCACTAAAGGTCTAAAGCAAACCAAGGCAAGAACGAAGGAAGATGGCTCTGGTCGGGCAGGTGGCAACGGTGGCGCAGCTGGTGGGCGTGGACGCGTTCAGCCTCATCACCATGATCGCGGAGGCTGCACAGACGGTGCGGCGGAACCGCGCCGTCTTCCAGCAGCTAGCCCGCCGCGTCGAGATGATCGGTGGCCTGCTTCGGCGGCTGCACGACCAGGACACGCAGCTGACGCAGCTCCCTGAGACACGGACCCCCGTGGAGGCGCTGGAGGAGACGCTCCGGCGGGCGTACCTGCTCGTGCGCTCCTGCCAGCGCCGCGGGTACGCGTACCGGTGCTTCATGGGGGCGCGCCACGCTGACGAGCTCCGTGAGGTGCAGGGTGAGATCGGCTTCTACCTCCAGCTCTTCCCCTTTGTCAGCTACGTCGACGCCACGCTCAACTGGGTCAGGCATCTCAACAACATGCAGGCTTCTCATGACACTCCTTTCCAAGAGGTACAGCCACCTGTTCACAACTGCTAGTTCTCTACTCGTTGACCGAAGAATGGATTGACAAGACCGATGCTTTCTTAAAACAGGCATTTGCAAGGGTTAAAGGAGCTAGTGTCACTTGGTGTCCCTGCAGCAAATGTGCAAACACGCGTCGGCAAACCAAGTTGGTCATGGGTAAACATCTTTGCAAGAATGGATTTACAATAGACTATACCAGATGGATCTACCATGGTGAAGCCGATTGTGGGAGAGACGAGGTCGTGAGACAACGCATCGAGGAATATGATGGGGATGCCGGGGTAGGAGACATGTTAAATGACTATCATGAAGCACACTTCGATGAAGGACGTATGGAGGAGGAGCCAGAGGCTACCGCAAAGGCGTATTACGACATGTTGTCTACGGCACAGCAACCCCTTCACGGGCATTCCAAGGTTTCTCAACTAGATACCATTGCACGCCTAATGGCAGTGAAGTCCCAGTTTAGCTTGAGTCGAGACGCCTTCGATGTTATGCTCACAGTTGTTGGCAGGCTGCTCCTGGATGGTCACATCTTGCCAAAGAGCATGTATGAGGCACAGAAACTCCTTCGTGCACTTAAGATGCCATACGAGCAGATACATGCTTGTCCGAAGGGATGCATCTTATTTAGGAAAGAGTATGCAGAAGAAAAGTACTGTGTGAAGTGCGAATCGTCTAGGTTTCTGGAGGTAGACTCTGGTGATGGTCAGAAGAGGTAGCTCGCAATCCCCATGAAGATCCTACGGTACCTTCCTTTCATTCTGAGGATCCAACGGCTTTAAATGACTGAGGAATCCGCGAACAGATGACATGGCACAAAAACGGTCGTTGATACAATCCTGAGAAGATGGTACACCCATCCGATGGTGAAGCCTGGACAAGGTTTGATGAGATTCATCGTGAGAAAGCTCTAGAGGCTCGTAATGTACGTGTTGCGCTGGCAACAGATGGGTTCAATTGTGGCAGAACCGACCGAAATAGCACACTTCCGGAGGTGATCGTCTTCCACCAGACACTAAACTCCCCAAAAGCAAGCTACAGCGGGCGGTATCCGTCGGGCACACCCCAAGGAAGAACCCGAAAGATCCACATTTTTTCCAAGGATCCAATAATGAGAACGAGTTACAATACTTGTCCATTTCATACATCAAAGTTTCTTAAAAAGTACATTATTACATTACCAAATATCAGAGTGCGGAATAATAAACAGCAGAATTTAAAATAACATCTAGCGATAAGCAACGAGGATCCGTCTGAGCCCACCAGAAAAATCCACCACACAAAAGTACTTATCATGCATCACCTGCAACAGAGGTAAATAAACCCTGAGTACACAATGTACTCGCAAGACTTATCCGACTAGTGGGAATAATTTTCCGACTCCAAGGAATATGATAAGCTTTATAGTTTGCTGGTTTTCTTTTGGTAGAAAGTAATACTAATAGTGAGTCCTTATTTATGTTATTATTATCAACCGTATTAAGTTATTATCTATCTAGTCTATATAAGCACCTGTTCTACTTTCAAGCAATAGTTAAGCAATCAGTTCCTTTTCATCACCTTTCATCTCTCAGTTCTTACTACGATGCTAGAGTTAAGACATGTCGTATCAACTCGGTGGTGATTCGCGAACCAATGTGCCTAGCTGGGTGCCCCGAAAACACACGCCCCGCTTGTACCCCAGGCACAAGCAGGACTAACCCATCACCCTCCTCATCACGAGTGTCCGTGTCCCCGTCAAACTTGGACTCCAAGCCCCCACTCCTGAGTCCCGGACTCAATGCGGTGCAAGGACCTCCACCATCCCCGCCTCCAATTAGTCAGTCCAGAAAGAGTCGGATCCATGACAAGAGGGCAACAAGTCTTCCCTACGCCCATACCCAAGTATGCGCTCGGGACAATAGATCTGTGACTTGCCTAGCGTCCATTGCAACGACCGATCCTTAATTGACACAGACAGGGAAAAAGTGTAACCGAGCTATGCCCTGTTGGTCACAGGACACAACCCCTTACACCCACCAGTACCCAAACCATATCCCTGCCCGATCACCATTTACCTTTCCATCATTTTATCATGAGTGATCATATTTATCACCTATTTACGAGTAACGGCAGGTTACTCATGCTACTGATGTCCTGAGCATAGCAGCTACGCGACCTGTACTAGTAGGACTCATGGGTAGATATATTTATGCATGTAGTTTCCATAAAATGTCTGTAGCTTAAATGAACATCATATATATATATATATATATATATATATATATATATTCAGTGATCATAAAATAGGGGTTATGCACCGGGGCTTGCCTTGAGCAGGCAACGGGTCAGTAAGGTCAGCACCAACAGGCTCCGGGCTCCCTCCTGCACGAGGATCTCCTCCTCGTACTCCTGAATCACCTCGTCGTACTCATGTTCGTCGACGGACACAAAGTCTACTAGCTCGTGATCTACATGCATGAAATGAAGATGCAATGCTTAGTAATATAGCAACAACAACTCTTAAAATAAAGGTACATCTGTTTAACTACTACGCTAGTGCTATCGACCACGGTGCTACGTTATCTATTGCTACCACTAACAAGTATGAAGTATGG